ATCCATCTATCATCCATCCATCCATCCCCACCCATCCATCCATCCATCCAACCATCCATCCATCCATCATCCATCCATCCATCCCCACCCATCCATCCATCCATCCAACCATCCATCCATCCATCATCCATCCATCCCTGTGTACAGTACATCCATCCAGCATCCATCCATTCAACCCTTCATCTATCCATATCCCCACCCATCCATCCATCCATCCACCCATCCATCCATCCATCATCCATCCATCCATCCCCACCCATCCATCCATCCATCCATCCATCCACCCATCTATCATCCACCCATCCATCCATCCATCCATCTATCATCCATCCATCCATCCATCCATCCACCCATCCATCCACCCATCTATCATCCATCCATCCATCCATCCACCCATCTATCCATCCATCCACCCACCCATCGATCGATTCATCCATCCATCCATCCATCCATCCATCCATCATCCATCCATCCATCATCTATCATCCATCCATCCATCCATCCATCATTTTTAACTTTTATTTTACGTTATAGTTCATGCTTTTATTTTGAAAATGCTGGACCGGACATCCTCTACGCGCTTGACTTCCGGCACCGGAAAAGCAACATGAACAAACACCTCCGCAGCTGTCAACACAGCTCGAGACAGACTCAAGCATCGTAAAGAACTTGAATGATATGATTTAATGACTCGTGTGCAGTGTCTGCAGCGCAGTCCTGTCAGTGAGTGTGAGATAATAACGGCTCGCGGATGATGATCTGCACCGGAGACAGTGATGCGGGGATCAGTTGTGTCTGGATCTAATGTCTTATAGTGCGTCAAGCTATAATTACAAACACTGAGTTCATAAGGACAGAGCGAAACATGGACACTTTCCTGGACTTTGAGGAGTGCATCAGAGACTCTCCTGCGTTCAGGTATTAATATCACATTCATAACACACTGTGTGATTCCTCAGATGTGCATATAGCAGACCCAATGCTAATTATAATAATATCACATTCATAACCCACTGTGTGATTCTTCAGATGTGCATATAGCAGACCCAATGCTAATTATAATAATATCACATTCATAACCCACTGTGTGATTCTTCAGATGTGCATATAGCAGACCCAATGCTAATTATAATAATATCACATTCATAACCCACTGTGTGATTCTTCAGATGTGCATATAGCAGACCCAATGCTAATTATAATAATATCACATTCATAACCCACTGTGTGATTCTTCAGATGTGCATATAGCAGACCCAATGCTAATTATAATAATATCACATTCATAACCCACTGTGTGATTCTTCAGATGTGCATATAGCAGACCCAATGCTAATTATAATAATATCACATTCATAACCCACTGTGTGATTCTTCAGATGTGCATATAGCAGACCCAATGCTAATTATAATAATATCACATTCATAACCCACTGTGTGATTCTTCAGATGTGCATATAGCAGACCCAATGCTAATTATAATAATATCACATTCATAACCCACTGTGTGATTCTTCAGATGTGCATATAGCAGACCCAATGCTAATTATAATAATATCACATTCATAACCCACTGTGTGATTCTTCAGATGTGCATATAGCAGACCCAATGCTAATTATAATAATATCACATTCATAACCCACTGTGTGATTCTTCAGATGTGCATATAGCAGACCCAATGCTAATTATAATAATATCACATTCATAACCCACTGTGTGATTCTTCAGATGTGCATATAGCAGACCCAATGCTAATTATAATAATATCACATTCATAACCCACTGTGTGATTCTTCAGATGTGCATATAGCAGACCCAATGCTAATTATAATAATATCACATTCATAACCCACTGTGTGATTCTTCAGATGTGCATATAGCAGACCCAATGCTAATTATAATAATATCACATTCATAACCCACTGTGTGATTCTTCAGATGTGCATATAGCAGACCCAATGCTAATTATAATAATATCACATTCATAACCCACTGTGTGATTCTTCAGATGTGCATATAGCAGACCCAATGCTAATTATAATAATATCACATTCATAACCCACTGTGTGATTCTTCAGATGTGCATATAGCAGACCCAATGCTAATTATAATAATATCACATTCATAACCCACTGTGTGATTCTTCAGATGTGCATATAGCAGACCCAATGCTAATTATAATAATATCACATTCATAACCCACTGTGTGATTCTTCAGATGTGCATATAGCAGACCCAATGCTAATTATAATAATATCACATTCATAACCCACTGTGTGATTCTTCAGATGTGCATATAGCAGACCCAATGCTAATTATAATAATATCACATTCATAACCCACTGTGTGATTCTTCAGATGTGCATATAGCAGACCCAATGCTAATTATAATAATATCACATTCATAACCCACTGTGTGATTCTTCAGATGTGCATATAGCAGACCCAATGCTAATTATAATAATATCACATTCATAACCCACTGTGTGATTCTTCAGATGTGCATATAGCAGACCCAATGCTAATTATAATAATATCACATTCATAACCCACTGTGTGATTCTTCAGATGTGCATATAGCAGACCCAATGCTAATTATAATAATATCACATTCATAACCCACTGTGTGATTCTTCAGATGTGCATATAGCAGACCCAATGCTAATTATAATAATATCACATTCATAACCCACTGTGTGATTCTTCAGATGTGCATATAGCAGACCCAATGCTAATTATAATAATATCACATTCATAACCCACTGTGTGATTCTTCAGATGTGCATATAGCAGACCCAATGCTAATTATAATAATATCACATTCATAACCCACTGTGTGATTCTTCAGATGTGCATATAGCAGACCCAATGCTAATTATAATAATATCACATTCATAACCCACTGTGTGATTCTTCAGATGTGCATATAGCAGACCCAATGCTAATTATAATAATATCACATTCATAACCCACTGTGTGATTCTTCAGATGTGCATATAGCAGACCCAATGCTAATTATAATAATATCACATTCATAACCCACTGTGTGATTCTTCAGATGTGCATATAGCAGACCCAATGCTAATTATAATAATATCACATTCATAACCCACTGTGTGATTCTTCAGATGTGCATATAGCAGACCCAATGCTAATTATAATAATATCACATTCATAACCCACTGTGTGATTCTTCAGATGTGCATATAGCAGACCCAATGCTAATTATAATAATATCACATTCATAACCCACTGTGTGATTCTTCAGATGTGCATATAGCAGACCCAATGCTAATTATAATAATATCACATTCATAACCCACTGTGTGATTCTTCAGATGTGCATATAGCAGACCCAATGCTAATTATAATAATATCACATTCATAACCCACTGTGTGATTCTTCAGATGTGCATATAGCAGACCCAATGCTAATTATAATAATATCACATTCATAACCCACTGTGTGATTCTTCAGATGTGCATATAGCAGACCCAATGCTAATTATAATAATATCACATTCATAACCCACTGTGTGATTCTTCAGATGTGCATATAGCAGACCCAATGCTAATTATAATAATATCACATTCATAACCCACTGTGTGATTCTTCAGATGTGCATATAGCAGACCCAATGCTAATTATAATAATATCACATTCATAACCCACTGTGTGATTCTTCAGATGTGCATATAGCAGACCCAATGCTAATTATAATAATATCACATTCATAACCCACTGTGTGATTCTTCAGATGTGCATATAGCAGACCCAATGCTAATTATAATAATATCACATTCATAACCCACTGTGTGATTCTTCAGATGTGCATATAGCAGACCCAATGCTAATTATAATAATATCACATTCATAACCCACTGTGTGATTCTTCAGATGTGCATATAGCAGACCCAATGCTAATTATAATAATATCACATTCATAACCCACTGTGTGATTCTTCAGATGTGCATATAGCAGACCCAATGCTAATTATAATAATATCACATTCATAACCCACTGTGTGATTCTTCAGATGTGCATATAGCAGACCCAATGCTAATTATAATAATATCACATTCATAACCCACTGTGTGATTCTTCAGATGTGCATATAGCAGACCCAATGCTAATTATAATAATATCACATTCATAACCCACTGTGTGATTCTTCAGATGTGCATATAGCAGACCCAATGCTAATTATAATAATATCACATTCATAACCCACTGTGTGATTCTTCAGATGTGCATATAGCAGACCCAATGCTAATTATAATAATATCACATTCATAACCCACTGTGTGATTCTTCAGATGTGCATATAGCAGACCCAATGCTAATTATAATAATATCACATTCATAACACACTGTGTGATTCCTCAGATGTGCATATAAATGAAGAAAAACTTGAAATGTCGAGCAGTTGCTTATATTAATTTGAACCTAAAATGTAAAAAAAACAAAAAGGCTTATGGAGATATCATTTATGAACTACCCATCATGCTATTGGGCTGGATGGTGTATCTGCTGTCAGATTAATGTGTGTGTGTGTGTGTGTGTGCAGGCAGTCTCTGGATAAATGTGAGAGTGACGTTGCAGAACTGGAGAGCCGCGTGGAGAAAGTAAGATGCATCATATACATTTTTGGATCATTTAATTTTTCCAGCGAGGCCCGCTGGTAATGCCAATGAAGATTTTTGTGCCATAAATATGAAATATTTTTCTTTTAAAATTTAGTTTCTATTTTTAGATTTATTATAGCCATGTTATTATATTTTAGTTGTATTTTTAGATTTCATTATAGTCATGTTTTATATTATATTTTATTTTGTTTTTATATTATATTTTATTATAGTCGTGTTTTATATAATAATTTTACTTTATATATATATATATATATGTGTGTGTGTGTGTGTGTGTGTGTGTATTACATACATATATTACATCATGTTTTTCATGCAATATTTTTCTTTAGATTTTTATAAGTATTATATATTATCATAGTCATGTTTTATATTATATTTTAAGTTTATATTGTTAGACTTGATTTGTCATATTTTACATTTTATTTTGTGTATTGTTTTTTTTTCATGACCGTTTCCACAGATTATCATGTGTTGATGTTTTGAGTTCTGAAAGTTACATCCAACTGTCTCGTGTGTAAAGTTGAAAGTAAAATGATTTTCTCATGATCTCAGCACACTGTTCGTCTGTGCTCTGTCTGTCTGCAGGTGATGAAGCTGTGTGGTCAGATGGTGGAGGCGGGTCAGAACTACACCTCCTGCAATCAGCTCTTTCTGTCCGGCCTGGCTGAGTTTACAGCGTATCACAAGAGCGACGGTGTTATTCTGGTGAGCGCTGATGTCTGATGGGTCGAGCTCTCTGATCAGACCGCTCATGCTGACCTCTGATTGTGTGTGTTTCTGTAGAATTGCCTGCGTCAGTTCAACCAGGGCCTGCAGGAAATGATCCAGTTTCAGACGGTGAGTGTGTGCTAGATGCATATATTTGTGACCCTGGAGCACAAAACCAGTCAAAAGGGCCAATTTTTTAAAATTGAGATTTATACATCATCTGAATAAATCAGCTTTCCATTGATGTATGGTTTGTTAGGATAGGACAATATTTGGCAGAGATACAGCTATTTGAGAATCCGAGGGTGCAAAAAAAATCTAAATATTGAGAAAATCACTTTTAAAGTTGTCCAAATAAAGTTCTTAGCAACGCATATTACTAATCAAAAATGAAGTTTTGATATATTTACAGTAGGAAATTTACAAAATATCTTCATGGAACATGATCTTTACTTAATATCCTAATGATTTTTGGCATAAAAGAAAAATCTATCATTTTGACCCATACAATGTATTTTTGGCTATTGCTACAAATATACCTGTGCTACTTATGACTGCTTTTGTGCTGCAGGGTCACATTTGTATATTAAAAATTATGCGTTTTCTTGCAGATGCTGTTTGATCAGACTCAGAGAGCCATTACCCAGCAGCTCACAAACCTGCTTTCACAGTACGTCACAACACACACACACACACACACATTAATATTTAAAAATGAACCAATTCTTCAATTCTGAACTTTGCCCACCCTGGTGTGTTAAAAATAAAGGTGCTTCACGATGCCATAGAAGAACTCACCCTCACCCACCTTACCTCACCTCACCCTCACCCTCACCTCACCCACCTTACCTCACCTCACCCTCACCTCACCTCACCTCACCTCACCCTCACCCTCAACCTCAACCTCACTTTCACTGCATTAAAGCGCAACGGTTTGTTCTATCACAGATTTCTGCCGCATATTCGCGACACTCGCCGTGAGTTTGTCCGGATCGGAGATGATCTCGATGCCGCCGTGGTGAAAAGCGCTCAGGTGAGTCGACACAAACCCGTTGACGCTGAGCGAGCGACTCACCTGCTGCTCGCCACGCGCAAATGCTACCAACACTTCGCCCTGGACTACTGCCTGCAGGTATTTCATTACTCATATTCTACAATTTCACACCATATGTGACCCTGGACCAGTCACAAGGGTTCAGGATGGGTTCAAGATAAATAAACTTTCCATTGATGTATGGTTTGTCAGGATAGGACAATATTTGACTGATATACAACTATTTGAAAATCTGGAATCTGAGGGTGCAAAAAAATCTAAATATTGAGAAAATCATCTTTAAAGTTGTCCAAATGAAGTTCTTAGCAACGCATATTACTAATCAAAAATTAAGTTTTGATATATTTACGGTAGGAAATGTACAAAATATCTTCATGGAACATGATCTTTATTTAATATCCTAATGATTTTTGGCATAAAAGAAAAATCCATAATTTTGACCCATACAATGTATTTTTGGCTATTGCTACAAATATCCCCCAGCGACTTAAGACTGGGTCACATTTGGTTTTTCCCCAAAGTCCATATGAGTGTTATTTTAGCATCATTGAGAGACTATCATAGTTTTTATTATTTTGAATTAAGTTTTATTTTTATATTTTCTGTTTTCATTTTAATTGTAGTTACAATTTGGTTAGTTAGCTGTGTTTTTTAATCGTTTTTATTATTTTTTTATGTTTGATTAAACATGCATATATAGTTTTTATTCACTTTAATTTAAGTTTGAGTTATTTTAGCACATCAACTTAAACTAAAAATGTGAAATGTTGCCTTGCAACTAGATGAGAAAAATAAATGTAAGGTTTATAATAATAAAATAAATAGTAAAGTATTTTTTATTTTTGTATTTTCTGATTTCAATGTGTTTTATTTCATGTTTTAGTTGGTTGTTTTTGCTATTGCTATCAGTTTTAAAAAAATAAATATGTCTATATTGTTTTTGTTTCAGTTTAGTACATCTTCTTAAACTAAAACATGAGAAATGTTAATGTTGCCTTGGCAATTAGATGGAAATAAACAAGTTTAAGGTTTTATAATAACAATAAAGGAGTTTTTATATTTTCCATTTTTATATTAATTTTAGTAAAAATGTTAGTAATTTAGCTTTGTGGGTTTGCCATTTTTATTTGTTTTTTTTAAATATGTTTTTATAGATTTTTTTTTCAGCTTTAGTTTTAGTTATTTGAGTATATCAAGTTAAACTAAATAAATGAAATTTCTTTTTTATGTTTTTTTTTTAAGTAGCAAAAATGTTTTTAGTTTTAGTAATAGTTAACTATAATCACTCTGTTGCGCATAATTTTAGTCATCAAAACCATTTTAATTGAGTTTTTATGATAATTTTCTGACCTGTAGAACTAAACTGTTGGTGTTGTTACTGTAAGACAAATTGTTGTCATTCAGGGCAGGTCACTAAATACTGAATGATTTGTGAATGTGGGCGGTCTTATGATAATGAGCTCATGATTGGGATGTCAGTCATTTTGGCATCAGAATGTTCTGGGTAACAGTTCTGTTACAGAATGTCACATAGTTCATACTGCTGAGGAATGAAAGTCAGTAGGTTTGTTCTGCTCTTGGCAGAAGAGTGAAGATTTATCAGTACATCATAATGTCAGCACCTGCAGGAATGAAGCTGATTGGCTGCTTCTTGTTGCTTGTGTTGACTCAGATCCTGTTTACTGTGGACTGACATCCTGAACTCTGATTCCAGACACAGCACATGTTACACATCACTCAAATATCACCTCATACGATCAGATCGAATTTTTCTTTTAAGTCTTGACGTTACTCTGATCATGTCATTATGAATCACGAACATCATATTTCACTGCAAAATATATATATATTTTTTTAAAGTTAATGTTTTTTCCCAATATTTATTTTGCTGGTTTTTATTATTATTATTTTATTTATATATTTATTCATTTATCGGGGAGAAATAAGCTAGAGGAATTTATCCTAGAACAAAATAAAAAGGAAAAATATTTGTCATATTTTATTTTTATTTTAAAATTAATTTTATAGTGTATGTTTTTTTTAATTATTTTATTTAGTTAGATATTTTATTATTTTACTGGGGAGAAATGTACCCGGAGAAATTTCCCCAGAACAAAAAAAAAGAAGGAATATTTTGTATTTATGTATTTTATTTTTTTTAATGTTAGTTTGTTTATTTTTATTTATGTGTATTTTATTATTTGATACTATTTGGGAAATCTGGGTGAAAATGGCCCACACAGAGAAATTTCTCCAGAACAAAATAAAAATAATAAATAAAAAATTGTTTTGTAGGGAGAAATAAAATATTTAGTATTTATGTAATTCATTTTTAAACATTTTATTAAGGAGAAATTCACCCAGAGAAATTTCCCAAGAGCAAAAAAAATAAAAAAAATAATTTAAAAATGCATTTGCTATATCTATCTTATTCATTTCATTATTTTATCAGGGAGAAATTTTCACCAGAACCAATTTCACCAGAGAGAAATGTATTGTTTTTCTCCTTTTCTTGCAGTTGAATAATTTCAAGGTCCAACAGAAGCTGGATATTCTGAATTCGGTGAGCTGTTAATCAGAAAGCCGGGTTTGTAAATACAATAACATCTTGTAAACTGACTAAAATCATCTTTTTTTTCCCCCCTCATGCAGGTCTTCTCGTATTTTCACGCTCAGTACACGTTTTTCCACCAGGGATTCGATTTGCTGAGAGATCTAGAACCGAGCATGAAGACGATGGCCTCACAGGTCACACATACACACATCAGATATTCATATGGACACAAGATAAACACTTTACATGTTTTATGGATACTGGAGTTAAACATGAGTAATATCTTTGCGCAGCTCTCTCAGCTGGCGTCTGACTGCACTGCCAAGAGGAAAGACCTGGAGAACACACACCTGCTCGTCCAGCAGAGAGTGAGAGAATAACACTCGCTATAAAACACTGATGAGACAAATCTGCACTTCAGTCCAAGTCTGTAGTTTTGAGGTCTATTTTATGATTTTATATAAATAGATTTTAGCATGAAAAACAGACTAAAATATTAATAACATCATCTTACTTCAATGAAATGCTCTCTGGAATGAGAACTTCACTAAAATATGAACACCACATACTGCAAAACATTATTTTTTGTTACTCTGCATTTTTGTCTTGTTTTCCATTACAAATGTTTAAATCGAGATGCATTTGCTTGAGAAGCGATGAAGTGCATTTATGCTTAAGACAAGAAAAAAACATCTTTCAGTGGGGCAAGAAGAATAAACTTGATTCAAAGAAAAAACAAGATTATTTTTATGGCCCCACTGACAGATTAGTTTTTCTTGTTTTAAGCATAAACTCTTATCAGTATACAAGACTTTAATGTCTTGAATCAGCTTCTCAAGTAATTATCATGTATCTTTTTATGAATATTTTTAATTGGTTTAGATATTTGTAATAGAAATAAAGATCGAAATACTTTTTGCCGTAATCTGATCTGGACCCTCAGATCTTGACTATTATAGCTTATTTATTACAACTGTTATTATAGTTAACTAGGAAAAAAGGGAATATATATATATATATATATTATTTTTTTTCTTTTACTATTTTACTTATTTTACTACAACAAAATGACTAAAATGAAAGTGAAAAGTGAAAATATAAAAATCCAATTCAGAATATTAACAAAAATATAAAAGTAAATGAATGATCCTAAATTAATAGTGTTTATAACTTACTTTTCAAATGCATGTATGTCAACAGGATGTTTTTAAGATTGTGTTTAATCATAGTGAGTTTTGGTAGTTAATCTGTGTGTTTGTTAACGGTAGGACACGTCTGGAGAAGCGGTTATTGTCTGTAACTTGTCTGACGGAGGAACGATTCAGGGTTACCTGTTCAAACGCTCGCGCAAGAAGAACAAGACGTGGAAGAGGTGAGAGATACTATCACTGAGATGCTATTAGAGCTAATTTTATTTAATGTTGTAATAATTTGTCTTTAATTTTGTTTTTAATAATTGTGTTTGTACCATTTTGATTCATTTTTTTGATTCATTTTTTTTATTTCAGTGTTAATTATTGTAGCTCATCAAGTTAAATATGAAAATGAGAAAAATTGCAACTAGCTGAAATGAAATAAGTTAAAAATGTTGAATATTTGATTTCAGTTATAGTTTATTTTATTTTAAGTAACAAAAATGATTTATTGATTTTAGTTTGTTAACTCTCATAACCCTGAAGAGACAGAGATCTGTTTACATTAACATAATGTCAGGTGCTGAAAAAATGATATATTTTTAACAATGGTTTCCATCTCTCAGGTGCTGGTTTTACTCTGAAAATAATCAGTTAATCTACTCAAAATCACACAAGGTATACACACACACACGCACACACACACCAACACGCACGCACACACACACTCTCACACACACATGCACACACACGCACACACTATCGCACGCACACACACTCTCACACACACATATGCACACACACGCACACACACACACGCACGCACACACACACTCTCACACACACACTCACACACACACTCACACACACACGCACGCACGCACAAACACACGCGCGCACACACACACACGTTTACTTCTAAATGGGTAGCTATCTAAATGGGGACATTCCATAGGCGTAATGGTTTTTATACTGTACAAACTGTATATTCTATCGGCCTACAGCAGGGATCCGGCCACGAGATCCACTTTCCTGCAGAGTTTAGCTCTAGCCCTAATCAAACACTCCTGAGCATGCTAATCAATGTCTTCAGGATCATTAGAAAATCACAGGTAGGTGAGTTTGATCAGGGTTGGAGCTAAACTCTGCAGCGCATTAGCCCTCCAGGGCAAGATTTGAGGAACCCTGGCCTACACCAACCCTACACCTAAACCTACCCCTCACAGGAAACTTTCTGCATTTTTACAATTTAAATTTTTTTTTGTTTACTGTATTTTTATACTAGTTTTACAAATGAGGACGTTCCCAAAGGGAGGTTTTTGGAGATTTTGTCAGGTTTAGCTCACTTTTCGATACAAATTTGTCCCCAAAATATGGTTAAGTAGGTACACGCGCACGTACACACACACACACACACACACACACACAATGTGAAAGAGAAACAAGTTACATGAAGACCCAGTTCTAGACTGATGTGGATGGTTTATGTGTGTGTGTGTGTTTCAGGAGCCGCCAGTGGTTCTGTTCGATGATCTCCGTCTGTGTGCTGTGAAATCTCTGGATGTGATCGACCGCCGTTTCTGTTTTGAGCTGCTGTCAGTGCAGAAGTAAGACGATGAAACACACACACATCAGTGTGGCTCTAAAATCTGTCAAATGTGTGTTAAAATGTGCTAAACTGATTCGTAGCTGAAAGCATTCTTTTGCAGTCCAGTCTTCTAGTTGAATGATGGCTGTTTATACAGAAACAGATTTGGTTCTAATTAATAGGCTGTCAGGTGTGTGTGTGTGTGTGTGTGTTAGTAATCATGTGTTTGTGTGCACAGGTGTTGTGTGTTACAGGCTGATTCGGAGGAGCTGAAGGTGGCGTGGATTAACGCTGTTCAGGGCTGTATAGACATGGCGTACCGTGATCAAGTAACAGAACAAAACACTCAGGTACAACACACACATTTGTAAACATATACTTGAGTTTTTTTTTATATATATATATCGATATGATTTATATATTTATATAATATTTATATATTTATATGATATATATATATATATATATATGTATAAATAAAAAACACTAGCTTTTCTAATCTTTTTGTATTCTATCTATTTGTTTTCTTTTTATTTATTATACAGTTAACAAAAGCAAAAAAGACCTCTAACACTAGCTTGCTCTATTCTTTTTCTATTCTATCTGTTTTCTTTTTATTTATTATATAATTTAAAAAAAACCTTGCTACGTGTGCTGCATTAAGCTAACTGAGACTTGTTATAGCTCTTTTGTTGATTTTGATTGCTTCTATTGTCCTCATTTGTAAGTCGCTTTGGATAAAAGCTCTGCTAAATGACTAAATGTAAATATATATATATATATATATTCTATAAAATAATTTGTTTTTCATCTTTTTCAAACCTTGTAGCAATTTTTTTTGTTTTGAATTTGTTAAAATCCAGTTTCACAAACAGAATGGATGTTCATTGGTCAAAAGGTTTGTTATTTGCATATTGTATGTGTTTAGGTGAAGGAGAACTCCGCCCCCGCGCCCGCTCCGGACCCGCCTCCTCACCCCCCCGCTCTGGGCGTGGCTCTCCGTGGCAACGGTAACCAGCGCTGCTGTGACTGTGGGGAGGCGGAGCCTCGCTGGGCCAGCGTTAACCTGGGCATCACCATGTGCATCGAGTGCTCGGGGATCCACAGGTGATGTCTGAGCATCTGCTGGGTTTAAATGATACTCCTTCTAGTGCAGGGCTGTCCAAACTCGGTCCTGGAGGGCCGGTGTCCTGCAGAGTTTAGCTCCAACTTGCCTCAACACACCTGCCGGGAAGTTTCTAGTATGCCTAGTAAGAGCTTGGTTCAGGTGTGTCTAATTGGGGTTGGATCTAAACTCTGCAGGACACCGGCCCTCCAGGACCGAGTTTGGGCACCCCTGATCTAGTGTATGAGTTATGTAAGGTTATTTTGTCATCCAACTTCAGATTCTAGATGCTCTTTAGTATGTAATTAATGCTGACAGTTGAGTGCATGAAGTCTTGTTTTTTCGGTTAATTAAATGCATCATTTAGGCATTTAAAGTGCACTTTTTCACAATTTATACTAAAAATGGCATAGAATAGCACATAAGTGCGCGAATTGGGACACACCTGAATGTTAAAGTCCAGCCAGGGTTATTATAGTTAACTAAAACCATAAAAACTGTTTCTGTTACTTGAAATAAAATAAACAATAAATAATATCATATTTATTTTAACTTATTTTATTTCAGCTAGTTGCCAGGAAAGCATTTCTAATTTTCATTCAGTTTCACTTGATGTACTAAAATAACTAAAACCAAAATGAAAATGAATAAAAACTGTATAGACATATTTAATAAAAATGGCAAAAACATACAACTAAATTACTAAAACATAAAATAATTAAAATGAAAATGGAAAATATACATTTATACTTAAAAAACCAACAAAAAGAATAAACACTAACAAAAATATTAAAACCTTAAATTGTAAATTAAATTGAAAACATAAAAATAAAAACGAATTCAAAATATTAATAAAACTATAATGATATCTCAGTGGTACTGGGAAGTTTATTTTCCAATTTCATAGACTTTCACTGTTTTTAATTTTATTGTGTAACGATATAAAATTAAATATAAAATGGATATTTTTGCTGTGTATAACAGGACACAACATTCACAACTCAGAAAGTCTGTAAACACAGATCATTTGTAGTTTTATTAGTAGCATTCCTCATGAACACTGATGTTGAATGGGTTTATTTGTTTAAATGCGAGGTTGCTGGTTTGTGTCGACAGGAGTCTCGGCGTACATCTGTCCAAAGTCCGATCGCTCACTCTTGATTCCTGGGATCCGGAACAGTTAAAGGTTTGTCATTCGGTCTGAACGGCCTGATTTCATTTTTATTAAAGGTCCCATGACATGCTGCTTTTTAGATGCTTTTATATAGGCCTAAGTGGTCCCTAGTACTGTATCTGAAGTCTCTTTCCCGAAATTCAGCCTTGGTGCAGAATTTCAGCCACTACGAGCCAGTCCCACAATGAGCTTTCCTTAGGACGTGCCATTTCTGTGTCTGTAGCTTTAAATGCTAATGAGGAGGAGAGAGGCGGGGCAACTGCCATGCTTCGCTCGTTTGCAAGCCATGATGTCTCTCGAGGAAAATAAAAAATATTGCGCTCGCCTCGCACGGTAGTAGCTAATTTTCTCATGGGCGGGCCAAATTCTCTGGGCGGGCAAAGCAGAGAAAGGGGAGGTAACCTTTCCCCGTATGACGACATAAAGGGAAGATTCCAGATTGGGCCATCTGAGCTTTCATTTTCTCAAAGGCGGAGCAGGATACCCAGGGCTCGGTTTACACCTATCACCATTTCTAGCCACTGGGGGACCATAGGCAGGCTAGGGGAACTCATATTAATGTTAAAAAAACTCATAAAGGGAAATTTTCATGCCATGGGACCTTTAACATCATTTGAGCTCTTTTATCAAAATCTCTGATATAAACCATCACTCCAAAACCTAGTTACAGCAACTAGTGCCGTTGGTTGATCTGTGTCTATAACTCCGCCCCCACAGCTGCTGTGCGTTCTGGGTAATGAAGTCATTAATGGCATTTATGAGCGTAACCCAGCAGATGGAGTGCAGAAGCCCAGCGCAGACAGTCCACGGTACGAAACAGGAAGGGTCTGTTTCTCACATGTACTGCATGTTGTTATATATTAAGAATGTATAAATGAGCATGTTCACTGTCTCTCTCAGGCAGGATAAAGAACAGTGGATCCGGTTTAAGTATGTGGAGAAAAGATTTGTGACACGTGATCCTGATGGTCCTGATGCTGGTGAGTGTTGCTTATCTTTAATAATCTATAATAGTCTTTTAATATTCTTTTAAATATAAAACATCTCATATGCTTTCGATAAATAATTATTTTATTATTAAAATAATAGTTTTAATTTAAAATTATTATTTTAATTGTTAATTATTTTTGTATAATTAAAAAGTATTTTATTAATTAAAGTAATGTTTAAAATAAAAAAAATATATATATAGTTAGATAATAAAATTGCTTTAAATAAATTATATAATTATTTTAATTAAATAATAAAAAGATTTAATTTATACTGCATTTATTTAAAATAATCAAAAATTATTTCAATTATTAATATTTTTTATATTTAAAATTATTTTAATTAAATAATAACATTGTAATTGTTAATTAAAATATTGTTAAAATATAATTTAAAAATACATTTATATAATTAACATGCTTCTATTGCCTTCATTTGTAAGTTGCTTTGGATAAAAGCATCTGCTAAATGACAATTATATAACAAAATTTATTTAATTCATTAAAATAATACAATTATTTTAATTTAAAATAATTGTAATAAAATAATATTATTGTTTTAATTCCATCCATTCGTTCTCCAAACCGCTTATCTTCTGTACTAGGGTCTCAGGCTAATTATTAATTAATTACATTAAATAATGTAATTAAGTTAATTCTAAAAAATGTTAATATGAAATATTATATTTTAGTATTATTGCATTCAATTACATTAAACATTAAATTAAATAACAGTTCATTTAATTTTTTTTTTATTATAATAAGTATTTTAATTAATTGTTGTCATAGAAACAGTAAAGCTACGGGACGGTGAGAGGCTGTATCAGGCGTCGCTAAGCGGTGATCTTGTTGCCATGGTGACGACGCTGGCCGAGGGGGCAGAAGTGAACTGGAGTAACCCTGAGCGGGAGGGACGGACGGCTCTGATTGGTTCAGCCATCGGGGTGAGTGACAGCCGAGAGTGCGAGCGCTGTTTAAAGTGTGCTCTATGGGAGGGACGGTGAATTTGACATCGTTCTCTCTTCCGACTGCAGTTATCAGCCTCTCTCAATTGTTTTCCTTTTATTGAAAGTCATGAAAACACTAGCTATTTGAGCAAATGGGAATGCAAAAATATATTTGTGGTTCTCTCCCATTCACTGCTCTCGAAGTTAACCTATGACGTCTTCCGCTCCTGAGAAGCCCGGAAATGTGAGAAAGGTCCGTTAGCATAGACACAGGCCTGAGTGAGAAGCAGCAGTCCGCCATTACTGTTTTCTTGCTGTAGCTGCTGGAAATATACAATGTCAGCGATACCACTTTTTCCCGTACTTGGCCGATACCGATACTTTTATCTTTGGTACTTGCCGATACCGAGTCCCGATACTCGGTATTTTCATTGCATTTGTAAATTTTTTTAATATTGGCTTCAGAAACCAAAAGAATATGTATAATGTTAGTTGGCTTAGGCCTACTTCATTTATCAAATAGATATATCCTTTAGTTATTTTCACACTTATCTTTGGTACTTGCCGATACCGAGTCCCGATACTCGGTATTTTCATTGCATTTGTAAATCTTTTAGATATTGGCTTCAGAAACCAAAAGAATATGTATAATGTACAATTAATTTTGCCCGTTAAAATGTATTTTACAAGTTTTTGTTACTTTCACTGTTCATTGTTTTGCTCTATGGTACATCATCTTTAATTTAATAGCATTAGAGCTGCTCCATTGCAGGCTCAGTCCTGTAATCACACGTTTTGCTGTAATAATGCAGGGAACCACTCGTTATAAATCTCAGAACTGTGATGAACATATTTTTAGAAATACAAGTCGCATTTTTTCCATCTGAAATGTGCTGGGAAATTTGTTTTTTTATTCCAAAGCAACTCATATAATGCAGAAACACTCATGAAGCAAGCAAAACATGACCATAATGTTGAGTATGCTTAAGGTTGAAAATAAGTGTTGTTTATAGTGAATGTCCCTATTAAATTTTTTTTTATATTTACGCTTTAGTTTTAAACCAAATGATGCGTGTGCTAAGTGAGCGAACATCAATCAAGTTCACGCAACAGAAGTGCGCTCTCTCGCTTTCCTTTCCGCTAAGTAACTTGTGCATTGGTTTACTACAAACTACAAACAGTGATTTCTGTGAGAAAGGGCTATTCGCTCGACAAGCTCGCGCACTCAGCTCGCTCACATCAGCTATACAGGCCTTAATACTGGATGTTTAACATTATATTAATTGCAGACATAAACTTCGTAGACATTCTTAATCTCTAAAACCCCATTCTGCTGTCTGTTGTTCTGTCGTCTGTGTTTCTTTGTCTGAATATGGCACACTTACATGCTGTGTGTTATCGGCGTTTGGTATCGGGGAATTTTAACGAGTACGAGTATCTCAGTATCGTGCATCACTAATTACAAGTGTTGTGTTTTGGGATGCACCAACGAACATAGGAGTCTCCATAGACTCCCTCCCTCTGAGCCGCTGAGGACACTGTGATTAAATTTAATTTTTAAAAGGAAATATCCTGGAAAAAATATGTAAAGTCCCCTATATGTTTAGAGATCAATACCAACGTTTCGTGTGCGAACATCAGCTCCAGACAAAGTAAGCATCACGTGTTTGTTTTCCAAATTGCCTTTCTGAAAGAGCTTCTTGGCACTCTGTGAGGCTAATGTTGCTAAAGTGATGCCTGTTTTCACTGATGCTGCTTCACCTGCTTCCAGAATGATCGTAAATAGGAATGTGGGAGTTTAAAATCGCATATGAAAGCAATGTGAAGTTTTGGCTCATACCCTAAAAGTGGCAATTTTAACAAGCTATAAAAAATAATCTGTGGGGTATTTTCAGCTAAAACTTCACATACACACTCTGGGGACATCAGAGACTTATTTTACATCTTGTTAAAAGGGGCATAATAGGTCACAATTAATGTGTGTGATTGGCGTCTTCAGTGACGGTGTGTGTGTGTGTTTTCTCTGGCAGGGCTCGCTGTCGGCGTGCGAGTTTTTGCTGCAGAACGGCGCGAATGTGAATCACAGGGATCAGCACGGACAGGGAGCTCTGCACGCTGCCGCCACCTACGGACACACGGGGTACATCACCGCCTGGATTATCAGAGCGACTTTGTGCACCGAAGAGCTCACAAACATTTATTAAGCAATAGGGATGTAACGATTCACTCAACTCACGATTTGATTTACTCACTATTTTTATTTTTTTTGACAAAATGAGATTGAAGACATTATACAGTAAATATAAAAGGTGTCGTTTTATTAGGCTATTGCTGAACATTTCTTTGTGAAATTGAAATATAACAAAACTAAATTGAAATCTTAAAACAAACCCCAAATCAAATAAGTACGTTACACAAATAAAACAAATCTCTTCATATAAACAAACTAAGGCTTTGTCTGCGCTCTTCCCATTTAAAATGAGAGGCAACCACTGCATTTTAATCATCATCCGAGCAAAGATGCAGCGTACATGAAGCATGAGTAGTTTTTAATCTAAATTAGATTGTATAATTTCAAAATTTGAAGCAAAAACCGAATGGTCTGACTTTAGTTTTGTGAAACTATACATAAAACATATCTGAAGGAAACAGCAGACGAGCTGAATGAGACGCAGATTCACTCTCTGCCAGCAGGTGGTGCTTATGAACAGCAGTGATGCAGTGTTTCCTGGGTTACCGCTGTAAACAAAGCAGGGCTGCGCTTATGAACAGCAATGATGCAGTGTTTCCTGGGTTACCGCTGTAAACAAAACAGGGCTGCGCTTATGAACAGCAATGATGCAGTGTTTCCTTGGTTACCGCTGTAAACAAAGCAGCGCTGCGCTTATGAACAGCAATGATGCGGCGTTTCCTGGGTTACCGCTGTAAACAAAGCAGCGCTGCGCTTATGAACTCTACTTTAATATGCGTCGTTCAGAAGCAAGATGAACAGAAAATACCACGTAAACTTTTCTAAAGAGAGTCAGTTCCCCTCAGAGATACATCCATATAAATTCCTACTCCAATTGTATCGCGATTTGTTTGGCATCTCAGCCGAATTTAATCGTCACATATTTGAATCGATTTTCAACCGGCTCGCGGTTCATCGTTACGTCCCTATTAAGCAAGTAAAATGAATCGGTTTTCATTGGATGGTTGATTGGTTTTAATGTGATGCTGTTCTGTGATTGGTCGCTTCAGGCAGGTGTGTCTGCTGCTCAAGAGAGGAGCCAATCAGTATGCAGCTGATGAAAAGGGAAACGATCCACTCCGTATCGCCATTGAAACTGCCCACGCTGACATTGTCACTTTGTGAGTGATCAGAGTGTGTTTGTGTGTGCTGTGTGTGCTAGAAATCATAATTAATGGTGTGTGTGTGTGTGCTTCAGGTTGAGAATGGCTCGAATGAATGAGGAAATGAGGGATTCTGAGGGATTCTTCGGATCTGTTGGTAAGATGTTCTTAGCTATGTTTCTCTCCACCTATTTTTATGCACATTTTGGAATAAAAAAACGCTGGATGGAAACGCCAAGATGCGCATAAATTAAAAAACATGCGCATAAAAAACCGTATGTGCACATTTGAGTAGGATAAGTTTATCAGGAATTGTTGTTTTTGTTCTCTTGGACTCGTTGGATGGAAACGGTGCTTTATTCGCAAATGTTTTATGCGATATTCCTGTTTTGCACATCAATTTAATTTGAATGTTTGGATGGAAACATAGCTATTGTTTTTTTTTTATTCTATAAAATTTTGTTATACGATCCAAAGTAACAAAACAAAATACAGAATCATTACAACTTTCTCACACCAACATTAATAATCTGTTGGTAAGATGTTCTTAGCTATGTTTCTCTCCACCTATTTTTATGCACATTTTGGAATAAAAAAACGCTGGATGGAAACGCCAAGATGCGCATAAATTAAAAAACATGCGCATAAAAAACCGTATGTGCACATTTGAGTAGGATAAGTTTATCAGGAATTGTTGTTTTTGTTCTCTTGGACTCGTTGGATGGAAACGGTGCTTTATTCGCAAATGTTTTATGCGATATTCCTGTTTTGCACATCAATTTAATTTGAATGTTTGGATGGAAACATAGCTATTGTTTTTTTTTTATTCTATAAAATTTTGTTATACGATCCAAAGTAACAAAACAAAATACAGAATCATTACAACTTTCTCACACCAACATTAATAAAAAAAAAAAGATAATAATGGAATGAAAAAACAATAATTACATATGTATTTATATGGTGAAAGCATTGTAATTCTGAAATAAATTTATTTAAAAATCTCGATTGATTATATAAAATTATTATTTTATTTTAATTAAAATAATTTTACATGTATTAATGTTATAATTTAAAATATTAAAATTAATATTAAAACGGTATTAATATTAATAAATATAAAAAAAAATTATATAAGATATTATTGTAATTACATAATTCTAAATTAAAACTGACATTATTTTAATTACAAATATTTTAGTTAAGAATTAAAACCAGTCTTTTATTTATATATGCATACATAAATGCATACAAATATGAGTAAAAATCAAATAATATGAATAATAATAATAAAAACAACACAAAATACAGAACCATCACAACTTTACCATACCAACATATACTGTATAATGAAGTTAAAATAATAGTAATAAAGAATTTTTTTTAATAATTACATATATACATATATATATATTTATATGGCAGCAGCATAATCATATTAAATAATTATATTAAAAATGGATAAATTAACTATATAAAACGGTTTCATTATTTTAATTTAAATAATTTTACATTTAATTAAAATAATTGTATTATACAATACTATCATATTTACAAAATTTTAAATAAAAACAATTACATTGTTTTAATTACAAAATATTTTAATTGAAATCAATTTATGTATACACACAGTTACATTTGAATGTGTAAAAATAAATAAATAAAATAATAATAATAATAAATTAACAAGAAAATTAGTTATGTTTATCAGAACAGTATCTGCTATTGTTTAAAAACAACAAAAACTTTCACATTTTCACTTTTCACATCATTTGTGTACAGCCTTCATTATTTAACATTCCAGATTTTCTTATAGTCAAATATTAAGCAGAAACATCTCATAAACCATGATCAAAAGTTTTGTTTATAGCGAAACTTTATAACAACAACAAGCACAAATTTTTCTTGTCGCTCTTCCTCAGGAGACGATGAAACATTCCAGGATATTTTCCGTGATTTCAGTAACATGGCGTCACACGACCCGGAGAAACTCTCCCGCCGGCAGTTCCTCCGCGGCTCTGAGGATGAAGAGCGTGATGAAGAGGTCAAGTGAGGTCACGTGAGGTCAGAGGTCACGCTGCTGCACTATGGGACAAGGGAAAAAAACAAAAGAGGGAAATCTTAATGTTGCAACTAGTTAAAAACTAAACATTTGCTCTGTATCTCTGAAAGAGAAGCTGGACATAACGTGTGTGACGGTTAACGTGACTAATGCTCCGTATTAAAGAGTGTGTGTGTTTGTGTGTGTGTGAGAGAGAGTGTGTGTGTGTGTGAGAGAGTGTGTGTGTGTTTGTGTATGTGTGTGTGTGTGTGTGTGTGAGAGAGAGAGTGTGAGTGTGTGAGCGAGAGAGAGAGAGAGAGTGTAAGTGTGTGTGTGTGAGAGTGTGTGTGTGTGAAAGAGAGTGAGTGTGTGTGTGTGTGAGAGAGAGAGTGTGTGTGTGTGTGTGTGGGGGGGGGGGGGGGGGGGGGGGGGGGGGGGGGGGGGGGGGGGGGGGGGGGCGATCCGGTCCAACTAATTTCATCCACACTGACTGTTCTCCTCTTGATTTTAGTTTGTGCTGTTGGTTTTTACTAAAGGCTTTTGACCTGTTTTTATATCGTGCTGCAGTAAAACACGCTTCTACACTGAACTTTGAAGGAAATTCACACTTACAGTGAATATTTAGGATATTGAAGTCAACATGAAATCAGAACTGACCCTGTTTACTTTCTTGATGCATGTTTCTGGTCTTACTGTGAATGGTTCATAAGTGCATGCTATTCTTTATGCATTATCAAAATGTATTAACGTCTTTCATTTTGGCTCACTAATCCTTAATTTTCAACTTTCTATAATATAGAGACACTTCATTATCCACACCTTCATTATGGGTAAAGTCAAACCATTTCATGGGTTTTATGTTGTTTAATATCCCGTTTTATTGAGTATGTGTCTGATTAAGAAAGTAAAATGAATTGGGAATGCAGTTTCGTGTTGACTTTAAATGCACACTTGAATAAAAATAAAATACATAAACACAGTTATAGCAATTAATATCATGTGATACACAATATATTACTATCGTTGTTGATGTCTTAAAAGTTTGTGTCTTATTCTAAGTAATGCATTAAAAGCTATTTAACTATGAAATGAGTCCAGTGTTGGTTTGTTTTTAAATACACAACCGAAAACTTCACTTTTCTTTGCTGTCTGGTCATTTTCATTTTCATGTTTTCATAATTTTGATAGAGACACAATAGAAAATATTAAATGACTGACTGTATATTTCAGGGGAGAAAAAAAAATTCACGTTGAGAAGAGATTGATTAATAATAAAGATTAATAGTTTTTACAGATTTTTTATTAGAAGAAAAATATCAAGTCTATGTACATTTTTACATCCATAATAAAATGATTTTTAAAAAACTATTATATATTCACTTATCTATAAAATATTTTACCCAAAATAAAAAACATGTTAATCAAATAATTATTTTTATTTTAAAAATGTATGTATTTCTTTATTTGTTAATATATTTATTATGTAATTTATTTACTATAAACAGCAAGCATCTGAACATCTGAAAATCAAACAAATATTAATTAAATTAATAATCAGGAGTCTCAAAAAGAATTTGGCAAATTCCTAAAATGTTTTATATATTTATTTACATATATATATATATATAAATTAGTGCTGTCAAACGATTAATCGCATCCAAAATAAAAGTTTTTGTTTATATAATATGTATGTGTGCTGTGTATATTTATTATGTGTATATAAATACACACACATGCATGTAATTAAGAAAAATATGTTATGTTTATATATTAAATATATTTATATAAAATATAAGAATATGACTATATGAATGTATAAACATAAATATTTTGAAAATATATACTGTATGTGTGTGTGTTTATATACACATAATAAATATACACAGTACACACACATATTTAATGTAAACAAAAACTTTTATTTTGGATATATATATATTGTAATGAAAATTACATCGTAAAGTTATTTTATTTTAATTAATATTTATTTAAATTAAGTTACATTATTCAAATTAAAATAATATAATTATTTACATTATTTTAAAATATAATTCGTGTTTCTTTACATAGAATGAATATATATACACACACACATATATATATATATATATATATATATATATATATTAATGCAAAAATGATTTCTAAATGTGAAGTTATTAGACTAGACTAGAGTCCTGCCCGCTCTCTGTTTGCGAAGCTCCGCCCATTCAAATGACGCTTTTACTGACGCAATATTAAAGCGTCGGCGCGTCTGCACGCATGCGTCCCAGAGCGGCGACACCATTTTAGAGGAGGAAAGCAAAACAGGGACACTTACTGACAATCAGTAATAATATATCAGCAGTTTAACTAATAACAGCTCGTGTGTGTGTGTGTGTGTGCTGAGAAGCAGGGACAGATAGAAGATCCCCGCTGGTCCACAGAAGAGCCGGGTTCCGACATCAGCTCGGCGTCTGTTCTGGGTGTATTGTTGTTGTTGTTGTGTGTGTTTGTTTGTGTGTGTTCGGGAGAAACTGAAGCAGTGCGGTTCTGTCCTCAGTCCAGATGGATGGAGACGAGGAGATCCGCTCAGGTAACCTTACAACAACCACAACACACTGCTCTTATCCCAGACTCTTACGCAACACTACCGTGGTAACATCACGGTAATACCGCGGTATTCTTTGGAGTACGTTGGCGCAGCATGGTGTATGGCTATAGTTTACATGCATTACCATCAGTACTGGGCAACAACTAGTTATTAGTAACTAGTTACAGTAGTAATATTACTTTTTGCAGTAACTAGTAGTTACTATCCATAAAACAGCTAGTTAGTTACTTACTTTCGATGCCTCAACCCCTACTGATCTCGATAAAAATCATATAAAAACTTTTTAGAGAATGAAACATTTTCTTATGAGCTTATATGAGTTATTTTCATAAGATACAGCATGGAATATACTCTTAATTATATTAGCTTCAAGCTACACATGACAATTAATGAGATTAATACAACACTTTGCTACTATTAATCACCACTGAGTGTGGATTCAGCAATCAGTGTGGATTGTGAGGCAGAAATATATTGTTTGTAACTTTTTATTAGAATTTTATGGGGAAGATATGCTGCTTATGTGGGGTGTGAAAGAAAAGTAATGTAACTAATTATTACTGTTGCCAAAAAGTGAGAAGTATAGTAATAATATTACTTTTGAAAGGAGTAACTAGTATTACCAACACTGATTAGCATATAATTAATCAAATTACTGTGGTATTTTCTTGTTTTGTGAATAAGTGCCATGGTAACACCGCGTATTTGTGCATTTACTACAGTAGCAACATGGTATTCTTTGAAGTATGTTGGCGTAGCATGGTGTATGACTATAGTAAACATGCATTACCATATAATTCACCAAAGTACCATGGTATTTTCATGTTTTTTGGTCAAATTCAATGGTAATACTATGTTTTTGGTCATTTACACTGGGGAATTGTGCTATATAAATGGTGCACCATGTAAATACCATGGTGTAGGAGTATGATAAACATTAATTACCATATAATTCACCAAAGTACCATGGTATTTTCATGTTTTTTGGACACATACAATGGGAATACCATGTTTTTAGTCATTTACACTGGGGAATTGTGCTATATAAATGGTGCATCATGTAAATACCATGGTGTAGGAGTATGATAAACATGAATTAGACTCTGTATTTGTATTTGTTCAGATGATGGCAGCGCTACTCCAGTTCAGGATGAGCAGGACGAGGCGAGACCCGAATCACGACAGTCTGAGGTCAGTCTGATGGTTTGGGTTTAGTGCTTGACTTCAAGAAATAGTTCATCCAAAACTAGGGTGACCGTACGTGCCATTTTCCCAGGATTTGTTTTGGCTTTGTTTTCATGCTTGCTGAAGGTAATGATCGAAAAGTAGTTTGACCAATAACATGCAAGCATTGTACATAATGGACCAATCATGGCGTGTGAGAAGGTGGGATCTACGGTCAAAGTGATGCAATTACGCGTACATATTAGGTGTGTTCGACTTAAAAGCAGTGCGGCTCAGACCGATCAGTGTTTGACATCAAAGTACCTCGAGAGCGTTTCGACTAACCGTCTGTATGGTACTTTGATGTCATACACCGATCGGTCTGCACACGCAAACAAAGCCAAAACCTAGATATTTTAGGCAATATAGAAATCCTGGCCAGGACGCGTCCTGGGAAAATGGCACGTATGGTCACCCTACCCAAAACTGAAAATCTGCTGAAAATATATTGGCCATTAGGTCGTCCAAGATGTAGATGAGTTTGTTTCTTCATCAGATTTGGAGAAATGTAGCATTGCATCAGTGTCTCAGCAATGGATGCTCTGCAGTGAATGGGTGCCGTCAGTATGAGAGTCCAAACAGCTGATAAAAACATCACAATAATCCACAGCACTCCAGTCCAGCAGTTAACATCTGGAGAAGCCAAAAGCTGAAACAAATCCGTATTTGATTATCGTGATTTGAAAAACTCACTGTAAATACAGTTCAGCTTTAATCGAAGTTATTACGAGTCTCATGCAACACGCAGAGTAGTTTCGTTTTGTGTGAAAACATGACTGAAGGAGGGAAATTATATGAAAGAATATATGAAGAATTTGGTTCCAAAACGCTATAAATCCGTTTAGATTAATTTGAGTAAAAATGTGTTTTCTTTACCAAGAAAGTGTCAAGATGAAAACCACTATTTTCGGTTTCAAACTTTCACATAGCATCTTTAGGTTATAATAACATTAAAAATTAAAATCCAGATTTAGATTTTCAAAGATTTATTATAAAATTGTATAATTTTTTTCCAAAATGCAATAAATCCATTGAATCAATATAGAAGTTATTTTTCATATTGAAACTGTTGAAAATACACAACATCGTAAGTTAATCCACATATGACAGCCTCTGAAGTTGGTCAATACTAATCTTATATGCAGGCACTGGACTAAAAATACATTCAATCAGTCATCGCTCCCAAAATGAATTCAACGGGTCATCTTGTTAATGCTATAAATTACAACAATAAAAGAACATTTTATCATGAACATACATGAACAACAATAATTTATAATGTTACAAAAGATTTATATTTCAGATAAATAGTGTTCATATCGATATCGGAATTATATCGTATCGACCGACATGAAGAAATATATCGTGATATCAATTTTGGCCATATCGTCCAGCCCTACGCTGTATTAACAAAAACATAAATGGCATAAATAAAAACACTGACGAGCTACTCAATATTGCGTTCATAATTGAATGCGACTCATCTGCAATTATGAACGCGATATAGCAGTGATCTACGGCTCTGTGTATTAAATGCAGCTCCATCTGAAAGCACGTGATGGAGATTTACTATTAATCACAGAACCGGCTTTACTGACGAGATGTGCATGACAATCACATGTGATTTATTGTGCAGCCCTAATTTTCTTTGTTTGATCACAAAGTACAAAATTAGGAAAACTAGGAAGCCGGGTGTATTCAAAACGCCGCCATTACTGTCTAGGGTGTGTGGAGTGGTGTGCTGTGATTGGTTGTTACTGTTTACAGTGCGTGGAATGGTGGGCTGTGATTGGTTGAGCGGATATATCGCATTCTGCAGAGAAGGGAGGCTGGCGTTTGTCGCGGTTTGGAAAAAAAGGGAGAAAACATGACACAATAACTCGGCGGATATCGCATTTTGCCTTAAATTCAAAATGGACTTGTCAATACTGACCAGATACAATACTGATTTTGGCGGAAACTTAATTTCGTTTATCGCGTATAACATCATTATATGATGTTATATGATGATGCTACTATACTCTGTTCTGCTGTTCATCAGCGCCACCTGCTGTCAGACTGTGGATTTACAAATTCAATTCAATCCGTCTGCCTTATTTTTGTTCAGACCAATGCGAAAATCAGACCAGGTTTTTGTTGTAAATCTTAACTGGTCGATGGAAAATAGCCGCCTACCTTGTTATCAGAAGTGTTGAGATTTTTAAAATGCACATTAGCTTTTATGGAGCAGATAAAATTTAATTGATCATTCTGACTTAACGTTTATGCAAATAAAAAGTGCATAATGCTGCAAAATTTTATTTGTTTATATTGTTTATTTTCTCATAAAACTTGGCAAAATGATTTCAGTGTGTGTGTCAGTACTTTTTTTAATATTTCCAGCTAGGGTTGCAAAGGGGTGGAAC